ATAATAATAATAATAGTAAAAAATTAATAAATTACTATTTAGCGACGGATTTGTGACGGAAATTAAACAAATTAGTCTTTTTGTCAGTTCCGTAGCTATTCCGTCGGTATTTACCGACGGATTTGTCTTCCGTCGGTATTCTGTAGGTATTCCGTCACAATATTGTCAGTAATTTAGGGCATCGTTTTCCGTCGGAATTCCGTAGGTATTCCGTCGGTATTTTCCGACGGAATATTTCCGTAGGAAAATTTCGTAGGTATTTTTAATTTTTCTAGTAGTGTACATATGCTTAAACATATACAACCATGTAAGATAGATATTTATATTTATAGAAATTTTAATTGTCAAGAGTTCTTCGTGCTTACAAATATCAATACTATATATATATATATATATATATATATATATATATATATATATATATATATATATATATATATATTATATATATATATATATATATATATATTCGGCGCGGTTCGGTTTTTTGCGGTTTTTGCAAGACTAGAAACCGCACCGCACCGAACATTTTTGGTTTTTGCAAAGCTAAAAACCGCACCGTCGGCTTTATTTCGGTTTCGGTTTATACGGTTTTTTCGGTTTGCGGTTCGGTTTTTACTCACCTCTAGTTAAAAGCTCCTACTATTGAACGGAGTTTTTTGTTCGAGTTTTTTCTTAAAAGCTAGAAGCTTAAAAGTTACGTACCTACACACCCTTGATATTATTTATATATTTGATTACACATATAGCCTCGTAACCTTATCTAAAAAAAGGGTTTAGGAACGATAAATACAAAATTTACTTCAAATTTTCATGAAACCACATTACTACTAATACAAGAACATCACAAACATGTTTCTAGAATATAGATAATGCCAATATTTCGTATTCTATGTGCAGGCCTGTGAATATGAGAAAGCTAAATGGCATGGTGACACCAATGGAGTCAAATAAGTGATGTCATTAGTGGTTAACGAAAGATGCATACTTGCTATTTCGTTAGAATTTTGTTACAATGGTATATCATTTCTTAATCCCATCATATTTTATTATGTCATATATAACAGTACATGTACATCTTCATTCAAAAAGTACAACAAAATGACCAATCGGATGATAGTTTAGTTATACTCTGTTGGTCTTGAATCGGTTTAATTATACCATAAGTAAATACAACCTGTTCTATTTAGACATATTGTTCGGAAACTTTGGAAATACCATCCAATGTTTTATGAATAAAAAATAAAGAAATCTCCAATAAAACTCAATTGGTCAGTTTACGGTTTAATCTCAACATTTATTTTTTTTTAATAGAAAAGTATAAATTATCTAATTTATACAATAATCTATCATGTTCTGTTGAAAAAATAACTGTTTCGTTAAATTGGACAAAATATAAAATGATCAGAAACGGTAAATATTCAAAATATTAGGACTTTATTGAAGATTTTTCTAAAAAATATTCAAACTTGAAAACGATGTGAATGTCATGAACAAACTCAAATAAAAAAATAGACACAAGTCAAAATCATCTAATTATAACGACATTAAGAACACTTGATGCCGAAGGAAGTAAGCCTTTGGACACATGCAAAATGCTAGTTTTGCCTCATAATCAAGCAATTTAAGATTTTAAGTCTTTGTAGCATTTCACGACAAATATGGAATTATTTACATTTTGGGGAAAATACAAGGATAACTTTGCCACAATCGCTTATCCGACTTATATATGACATCCATTCTCCATCGTTTCGTATTTTGTAGTTTTAGAGTTTATAATTAGTTGTATATAATTTAAAATAGTTTTATACATACATCATTTTTAAGATTTTTAAGATTTTTAAGCTACAAAAAGAATTTAATCCGGTCATCACCCCTCATAGCATTGTATACCGCTCGAACCTGGAAACAATATGAATTTTAGTTAATGTTTCTATTCAATTAAATATGATTGGAATCAGAGAAAGAATAGAATGCTCATTCCATTCGAATGAAAAAAAGCTTATTGTTTTCTTTGATGGAATAAACAAACCACTCCTAATGAATGTATTTATTTATTTATTTATTTATTTTTTTAATTTTTATTGCTTAGCAAAGAGGTTTTTTTTTTATTTATTTTAGTTTAATGGAATTGAATGTAAAATTGTAACATAATCCACTTTCATTTATATAATTTTTCATGACGAATTAAATTAAAACTTTATTTTTTTAAATAACTAATAAAAATATCTTTTTGTTATAATCCTATTAGGGTTTTAGTGAGTTTTTATTGTGATTAATATTTTATTTTTTTTATAAATTAAAGTTGGTTAATTATAATTAAAATAAATTAAGTATAGATTAGAGTTAAAATCATACTTGCATAGATTCTACAGATTCTAGAAGATTCATTCTATCTCTAGAAAATAGGAATGATTATCGAATATAATGGCATATTGCATTACCTTGTTATAAGTATTTGGAGTTTGGTATGTGTTTCAACCAAAAGACATATACAGAAATAAAAAATTGAACCTGTTCTCTAGAAACGACTTGAATGGGTCCAATATTAACTGAAACATATTTTCCTCCTGATGACACTCTCTGCTTCACATGCTCCTGTTGGATAAGTTTCTTGTGATTATTGTAACTTGAATCAAAATTATATAACCAAATTAGTAGACTCATGGGCAACTTAAATTTATCTCAATAATCAAATTTTGTTTCATCCACTTCTTACATGTTTCTTCAAATATAATTACTTTGACTCTAAGAAATCAAAAAATCAAAATTATAATAAGTTTTTATCTTGTTTACCTGTGGAACTGGATGTTGAATGACCGACTCCACAGCAAGTATCATAGATTGCACAAAATCATTGCCTCCAATACCAATTGCTGTAAACCTTCGGACACTTGGGTAAGTGTCTAACTGTCATGTTAATACATAAAAACCACATACGTTAAATCTTTTAAACGGCATTCAATACACCAAATGGAAAGCGAAAATTGGCCGTTTACTCGATGATTTTCTTGATGCAAACATATTATGGCTTCTTTTCAAATGTTACACTTAGATTTTGACCCATACGAGTTAATATAGACGTTTCTAAACAATTCTCCATCATATTTGGATCGTCATGATGACTTGGGTGACAAAAGAAGTTGAAAAGTATCCACCTTTTCTCATGTTATGAGAACCTACGGAATTTAAAATTATGAGAACACCTAAATGAAAATGTGCATAGGACTTGATAATATGCTATATACAAAAGCAATAGTACATCATCTGAATGAGCCACATTTTCGTGTATGCTTTTTGTTGATGAAATTGTTTTGGTGGTAGAACTGGATGTTATGTTGGATATGTATAGGACAATGTTGGAATAAAAAGCGTTACGCGTTAAACCAAAATAAATATATCTAGTGCAATTTCAGCGAGGAGTGCAATGACAAGGGAGTAGAAGTTTGCATCGGGGAGCAAGTCTTGCTCTTAAACCCAAAGGAGAGTTATAACTTGGGGTCTATGATCCATAACAAAAGGGATGTTGAGGACGACGTTATCTATCACATATCACATAAGTTAGGGGAAAAGTCAACATGCTTATAAGATATATGTAGCTGATGTGGAACTCCAAAAGGGACAAACAGTTTGTGAAAAACAGTAAGAATCAATACCTTTTGGCTAAGAGTGAGCCACTCACCGCTCGAGCCATCAATTACCGTATCTCCAAAAACCATATTTGTGGTTTGTCCAGCTCTACCTTTGGTCTGCGAACGGTGAGAACGGTCTGAATCAAATCAATAGTTAGTCTTACCATGTACTTAGTAACTCTTACCTAACATCGAATACTATTGCATTTGATAGAATTAACATGTCTTGTTTACTTTCATTTAGGCTATGTTTGATGGATTATCTGAAAAGCTATATGATAGCTAAAAAGTTAGCTATTAACTGATAAAAAATGATGTTTGGTAAAACCAGTAACTTAGCTAGTTTAAATATGTAAAACGACAGAGAAATGTAAGTAAAATATTAAGTTTTTTTTAATAATAATTAATAAAACATATATATATATATATATATATATATATATATATATATATATCTATATATATATATATATATAGGTTCAATGTTTTAACTAAGTATTGTGTTATTGTATGCATAAATGTGGGCCAATCAAAATTAAATAAAAAATTAAATAATTAAATAAATAAATAATGGTAATTTAGTAATTTGCTTAATAAATTCCAAAAATAATCCCTATAATCATGCTATCTCTCCAGTTTAAATCTCGTTCTCCTCTTTATCTAAAAACCGATTCTGAAAATCCTAAATTGAACAAATTGACACCAGTGACCCTTCATCGTCTTCTTCATAGATCGGGAGAGGGAAGAATCGAGCGATCAAGCATCGAACAGAGGTGGTCTTGGTGGTGGTAATCGATGTTCTCCCTTTCTGCCTTACTGATCATCACGTCTTCTTCCTTACTTCGAATGTCGATTTCTTCCCCCATCGCCTACGGTTCTACTGTGTCGATTTCTGCGTTTTTTTTTCAATAAGAACCTATTTCTGCAAAGTTGGAGATGTTGTGGATTACGCATGCCCGGAGGTGGGTTCTTACGCCCAAGAGAGAATTCTTCCCGCAGATTCAGTTCTCGATAGGTCCAGAATTGACCCCGACGATCCAGATTCCGAATCCGTTGAAACGATCAAAGGCGAAATCGAGATCAATATATGTACATCGACTCATAGTCTCAGCCGCTTTAGTGGCACTGGAAACAACATCATCGAGCCTGAATTCATAAATCATGGCAAGTTCCTTACTTTTCTGGATTTATTATACTAAAAAGACATTGTTAAGTGTTGTTTTCATTTCGACTCAATGAACCTAATGGGTACAATGCAATGTCTTTCATAGTTTCACTCATCATAACGTATGATGTAGTTATTGATATTTTCTCACAAATCTTTAAAAAAACAGGAATTATTAAAACAATCTACCAAACATTTTATCCATTATTTTTAGTATACAGATCCTGATTGTAATTCGTTATGCCATTTCTGAAAACAGGACTACTTCGGTGGACTCAATTCAGACTTCAATGGGTTGACCATAAAATGTCAAAGAACAGAACAAAAGCTCAAGAACCCGTTTTAAAGTTTTAAATTCATATTTCAATGGTTTTTCTTTCATTTTCTCATATATATTTTAAACATTATTTATCGATTTTGTTGTTAAAGAAGGAAGGTGACATACAATATGTTACAAGAGGCCAGCTGTATCCTGCCCAGATGATTTTTTACTTGCATTTGGTATTTCACAATTACATAAATTTGTTGCTGGCTTAATATCTTTCTTGTTATTTCAGATCCTGTTTGGCTTTCTGTACATTGTGAATCTTGGAATAATCTTATTCATTTATGTAGATGATTCAATGGATGATATTGGTGATATTCCAATTCTATTGGAATGGATTGACGAATTCCAATTCTGTTGGAATGGAATGACGAATTCCAATTCTGTTAGAATCACAGAAGTTGATGCTTGAAGAACGGACCACATTATTCTTTTAGAATGTATTAGTCGTTGTTAGATTTTGATGTTTTCTTCCCCGTTTTGATTATTTTTTTAGTTTTATTCTTTAACAATAAATGTAATTCTTAACAATTGTTACCCGTATTCTATAAGAAATAATGTATTTTTTGTTTTTATTCTTCAATTGATTGTTCAAGATTTTGTTATTCTTCAAGAAGTTGTTATTCTTCAAGAAGTTTTTAAAGTCATCATCAAGAAATAGGTTCAAAAATATTTTTATTATTTATGGTTCAAAAATATTTTTATTTTTGAATATACTCATAAACATATTATGTCAGAATGTCCGAATTAAAAGAATTATAATTCGTAAAATCGGATTTTTAAAATTAATAGAATCTATGATCCCTTAAAAAATGCAATTTTCCTTCATTAAATCTATATTAATTGACTAAATTACCCTTGTAATTAATTAAGATGGTTTTTTCAATTATATTTAATTCAATAATATATATTAATCACTTTCTTAAAATAAGTAAATTTGATTGACCCACATTTATGCATTCAATAACACAATAATTACTTTAAACAAAATAACCTAAGCCTATATATATATATATATATATATATATATATATATATATATATATATATACACACACACACAGTGTTGTAAAACTTGCCGAGTTGGCCGATTACTCCTCCGAGTACTCGCTACTCGGCCCCTTACCGAGGCGAGTTACAAAATCCCGAGTACTCCCCAATCGACCCCTTTACTGAATTGAGCAGTATTGTAAAACATGGTCAACTCGGTGATTTAATATGTATAATATACTTAATGATTTATTATTTAACACACACATGTGATTATTACTACATACATATCTTAAATTTTCAGTAATTATTCACGAAGTGAGACCATTATGTGTTTTTTTAGCTTTTGTGTATTCACATGTATCTAATTTTGTTATATATTTCAATCAACTTATGATTTTGACATATATAATTTCCCTAAGAATATTTCTACATGAATAACGGAATCCGAGTACTCCCCGAGTACTCCCGAGTACTCGCTACTCGGTAGTCGGCCAAATAGGTACCGAGTAACGAGTTCTGCAACCTTATATATATATATATATATATATATATATATATATATATAAAAGAGAATTTTAAAAACACCCAATATTCTCGTTGAAACGATAGTCTATACATTTTTTTTAAGTTAGCTTATAAATTATTTTTTAGTTTAACCAACATCAAACATAGAAAATCTAAATAAGCTTAAAGAAAAACCTAATAGTGGCATACCAAACAACGATCTTAATCCGCGCGACCGCGCCCCAATTGAGTTCATTTAAAAAGAAGCATTCCAATGGTATGTGATTCTCGGCATGCAAGTACCGATTAAGATTGTAGGTAATTAACAATGAACCATCAGATTAGTTTATCCATTTCTCAAAGGGAAATTGTCAGAAAAGTCTCAATATTTACGAAAAAGTTACACATTAGTCCCAAGATTTTTTTTTGAACGAAAAAAGTCCTGAAAACCGGCAAAATTTTGCATTTTGACCCTTTTTGACTGGTTGAAAGCGGTACCAAATTAATTGGGGACTATTTCGTAAACTAACTCAAAATATTGAAACTTTTCTGTAAACAAAAATATTATGATTTTTCTGCAAACAAAACTCTTATTATTATTATTATTATTATTATTATTATTATTATAAATAAGAAGACTAGTTTTTGAACTTGTTATTATTAATATTGTTAATAATACATATAAATGCATTTAACTGAAGAAATAATATTAGTGACATTATTTAAGGGTGAAGTTGGAGGAGATAGTGATGTTGTTAGCATTGAAATCGTGAATGTGTGCTTGTATATTTTTACTTTGTATATGGTCATTTCACATTTGTTATTATTGTTTTCAATTTAGAACATTAATACTTAACAATTTAAAAGAAGTTGCATATTTGTAAAATTGTTTATAAATAATTTAAGATAGAAGGATTTCTTACTTTGTATATAGAATTGTTTAAGGTAGAATGATTACTTTCGAAATCCAACAGATCCACTACAAACATCTACATAGGTAGCCCATATCAAAATCCAAAAGTATTAATTACAATATCTTGTTTAATAAAAAGTAATTACTTTTTATTAAACAAGATATTATAATTAATACTTTATTACTTTTTATTAAACAAGATATTGTAATTAATACTTTTGAATTTTGATATGAGCTACCTATGTAGATGTTTGTTGTGGATTTGGAAAGTAATCCTTCTACCTTAAACAATTTTATACACAAAGTGAGAAATCCTTCTACCTTAAAATATTTATAAACAATTTTACAAAAATACAACTTCTTTTGAATGGTTAAGTATTAATATTCTGAATTGACCATATACAAAGTAAAAATATACAAACAGACATTCATGATTTCAATGCTAAAAGCATCATCATCTCCTCCACCTCCACCCATAAGCAATGTCATTAATATTATTCGTTCATTTAAATACATTTATATGTATTATTAACTATATTAATAATAACAAGTTTTAAAAATAGTTTTCATATTTATATTTTTAATAACAACAACAACAACAACAACAACAATAATAATAATAATAATAATAATAATAATAATAATAATAATAATAATAACAATAATAGTTATAATAATAATAAGGGTTTTGTTTGCAGAAAAGTCATAATATTTTTATTTACAGAAAAGTCATAATATTTTTATTTACAGAAAAGTCTCAATATTTTGGGTTAGTTTACGAAATAGTCCCAAATTAATTTGGTATCGGTTTCAACCGGTGGAAAAATGTTCAAATGTAAATTTTTGCCGGTTTTCAAGACTTTTTCATTATAAAAAAAAAAAATCTTAGAAACTAAAACGTAACTTTTCGCTTCTCAAAACTACAACTACCAAATTTATTAAGCTTCTAAAGCATATGTTTCCTTGCAAATTATAAATAACAGGCATATAATTATTCACTTGAATTGATTTAGGTTCATAATCTCACAGCCAAAAACATGTAATTCGAACACGAATTGAAGAATATGATTGATATGTTGAAATGATAAAATTAGGGATAAAGACCTGAAATAATCTCGAGATCAGTTTCTTGAGGCGGTTCCTGAGTATTCTCACTAACCATTGACGACTACGACGATATATTTTCATTATTTAAACAATTAAAACGGCGATCAAGTTCAATTCGTCTTTCTGAGCAGAAATCTTTAATGTTCGTAATGATCTTACACTCACATCTCGAACTCAAAAAGGGTGTTTGATAATTCTGCTGGCGAAAGGAAGTACGATTAACGGATGTTCGCCATAGCCCCTTCAGAACCACACCATGGATTACTGCCCTATGCGCCATTTTCTATCGATTTTTCTAAAAATCTGAATTCTAATGGAAGTTTTTCCAACATGTTATGCTAATTTCCGCGCCAAAGAACGGAGGAGAGACTTTGCAGGAAGTTTGTTTTTGTGTAATCAACAGTTGTGAAATGACAAAATTACCTTTACGTTGCCGGGGTAAAATTGGAAATATGCAGTTGAAGTTATCAGCAGCTATGAACGCGTCTTTTTTTTTTTCCCTCTTCACATAAAACTTTCTTCCCCAAAACCCTTGTCGATCGCCATAGCATCTCTCACCGGTGAAAGCTTCGACTCAGGTGAGAACCTTGACGCCGACCACCGCTCCCATACTTCGCTGGACTTCTCCTCTGCTCAGCAACGTCACCAGATTTCTCCTCTGCTCTGCAATCGCTCACGCCCGTCGTCGCCGCCTGTCACGCCCACCGTCGCCGTCTCCGCCTGTTACGCCCGCTGTCTTTGTCTCCTTCGCTCACCACATCTTCACCATCGTCTCCGACCTCTGCTGCCAACGGTAAGAACAGTTTTCCTAAAAAGATGTTATCTTCTAGGGTTTGTTATAGTTGCTGGTAATCAGATGTTATTGTTGGTGAAATCAGATTAGTTTGCTGAAACAAGAAAATCATATGTACATTTGCTGAAAATCGGATTTGTTTGCTGAAATCAGATGTTCATAGGTGCTGGAAATCAGATTTGTTTGCTGAAAATGTATATACTTTGCTGAAATATGAAAAATGTTGTTCAGTTTGTTGAAATTAGTTGTTATTGTTGCTGGAAATCACATTTTTTTTTTACTGAAACTAGTTATTGTTGCTGGAATAGTATTCACATCCGATGTTTTAGTGCTTTAATTCATATATTTCGTAGTTCATTGGAATACATAGCGAACGGGTTATATCTGTTTTTTTTTTTTTGGTATAATATGTGAAATTTGTGTGATGAATGATTCTCGGACCATTTAGAAAATTGATTTTAGCTGTTGTAAACTTGTACAAATATGGTTTGATCTATTTATCAACCATTATGTTATTAACTTATTATGTTGTATATTATTGTTATTATGTTATATATCATAATTAATAATGTATATTAGTTGCCTTTTCTTTGCTAAAAGAATTGCAACTTTGTTTAGAAGTTTGTTTTAATGATTTTTTTTTAAATATATTATTTGTGTTTGATTCAAACTCTTAGGATACATCAAATGTATGGATCCGATGGCGTAAACGAAGATTCAGAGAGAACTGCCTTTCGAAAAACTGAGAAAAAGTACAAACTATATTATGATAATAACAAATCTTCCAAAAAGTAAGAAATTCATTCATTAATTTGTGTTTTATAGTTGATTTGAAGTTTGAAGTTGTAAAGTAAATGGTTTGTTTAATTTCAGGAAGAAGAAACCGAGGCCTGTAGATTTGTCAGAGGTTATCGATTTTAAGTCTGTTTCAGAGTCCTTTACTAGAAACAATGATGTTCATCTTCCTATTGGAGTTTCAAAGCTTGAATGTCAGTTTGATAGGCCAGTTTTCAGTTTGGATAAATGCCCTGGTATGCAATCATTATTTATTTATCTCTTATGGTTATGTTATGTGGTTAATTTAATTCGTTTATAGTACATATAGTTGATAGTTGATAATGATGTGTGTTTTCAACTACAGGTTTCTATTTCATTCCTGAAGCATTGAGTATTGAGGAACAATGCAGATGGATTAAGGAGAGCTTAGTGAGTTTTCCTCAACCTCCAAACAGAACTAATCACAATGCTGTTCATGGAGCCATACATGATCTGTTCAATGCTGCAAAAGATAAACGAGTGTTAGTTGAAGAGGAAAAGATACTATTACCTGGTGAAGAAGATGCTCATACTCATAAATGGGAATGGGCTACTTGTGATGAACTAAGTGGAAATACAAATACTAGTAAATCAATATCAGCATCTGTCTTGCTAAGGAAACTGAGATGGAGTACTCTTGGTCTCCAATTTGACTGGTCAAAGGTCTGCCTTTTATTCACAACCCCAAATTTATACAGACAATTTACTTGTAGAGACTCTATAGTATACATTGCTAATTTATGGTAAAATTTTGTATGTTTTCTTGTAGAGGAGTTATAATGTTTCACTCCCTCACAACAAGATCCCGGATGCTCTTTCTCAACTTGCTAAGAAAATGGCTTCTCCTGCTATGCCAGTTGGAGAAGAATTTCAACCAGAAGCTGCTATTGTTAATTATTTTGCTTCAGGTACTAATTCTATTTGCTATTTGCAATTTGCATACTAATATCTTTATTCATTTTAATTTTTGAAGATTCTTAATGTCGAAAGTCTTTAGTTAGATCAAGTGGAAATGTCACTAAATAGTAAAAAGTTTCATACTGCTTTCAATTAGGTCACTTTTTTCAGATAAAATCGAGCAAAAAGGTTGGAGTGAAATAGGTTAACTGTGAAACTGTGGTATAATTAAATAGTATATATATATATATATATATATATATATATATATATATTAATTTAGTGATTTTATAGGTGATATGTTGGGTGGTCACCTTGATGACATGGAGGCAGATTGGAGCAAACCTATAGTAAGCATGAGGTAGGTATGATTGCATTGTCTATTTTATTTAAATATATAATAGGAGCTGACATGGACAGTTTGATTTATTAATAAAGTTTGGGATGCAAAGCAATTTTTCTTCTTGGAGGGAAGTCCAGAAATGATGAACCGTTAGCTATGTTTCTGCGCAGTGGTGATATTGTTCTTATGGCTGGAGAAGCAAGGGAGCGTTTTCATGGTCACTACATAAACTAAACTATTTTTATTTTCTCTGATGGAATGGCATGAAAAATTACTTTTTTTATCCTCAAAAGATATAAATGGAAAACCTATGTTTTATTATAAATCTGTTTCGGTTTTATTGTGTTCCATTCCATCCCATCCAACCAAACATACCATTTATCTTCTTGAGTGATTAATTTGTGATTTTTTTGCAGGGATACCTCGGATTTTTACCGATACAGAAAACGCAGAGATCGATTGTTTAGAAAAGCACTTCTCAGGTGAAGATGATACTTGTTATTTGGAATACATTAAAACCTCAAGAATTAACATTAATATCAGACAAGTGTACTGAATTATTTCTTAGTATATCTTTCCTGAAATTTGATTCAACACTAATATGGAGGAGATGCCTTAACGGATGTTCCCGTTCTCTCAATTTTCTACCAACACTAAGGGCTCACTTTTTTTAGACTTGATGAACTTTAATGGGTTAAGCACTTAAGCTAAGCTGTACAACAATCGATGATTGTTTCTTCTCGACTCTTGAGTTCGTTTGTACAATACACGGTTGTTTCTTTTTACTTGTCTCTATTGTTCGTTAGTTTGCATGATAATCATAGAAGTCAATGGAAATGAGAACAAAAATCTCATTACATTTGCATTGAGCATGTGTCCCTAGTCTTTGGAGTAAAAAGAAAAACTTGTACACAAGAAAAGTTACTTCCAACAACCCTTTATTTATTTATTTTTTTTTCTAGATGTCCTATTTTGGTTCCTCTAGGCTTTTGAAACAAAATTTTGTTTCTATATAGATCTAGGAAGGTTGTGAAAATCGTTCGGCATTAGCTCGGCGGTCAACCAACATTAAGTGATTAATCGGATTAGGTGTTGATTAATCGGAGATCCTAAATTATTAATAAAATTATTTAAATAGTTAATATATCCAAAAAAATAAGTATTTGAAAATTTTAAATTTTAAAAATATAGAATTTTTGAAAATTTTAGTATAATATTTTAAAATATGAAAACTTAAAAATTTGAAAATTTATAATTTTGGTGTGATATTTGAAAATTAAAAAATTTGAATTTGTTAAATATTTTCCGCCTATAATTGCCAAGGACCGCCAAGCCGAGTTTGACCGATTTTGATTAATTTCCACAAAGCACCCTAATTGTTATCGGTTTAAGACCGCCAAACAATTAATCGGCAGACAAGGCCGATTTTTGTAACACTGGTTTTAGGTATGGAGCTACTTGAGATAAACTCGTTAAAAACTCGACTCGAAATTGATTTTAAACAAGCCCAAGCTCGAGCTTGAGCTTAAAGTTATGCTTTTTAGAATTTTTTTATCAGTGTTGTAAAAAATCGTGACTAGGCTCCGATTAATCTTTGATTAGTCTCTAGGTGCTACCCAACCCATTAGATGTTATATCTCAACATAAACTATTTGATGAATGATTGGTGTTGTACTAATGATATTAGTGGTATTTACGAACTTTATTATGATATATTGATATTAATTATAAATACTTTTTTAAAATTCAATGTAATAACAATTTATGATCTCCGTTTATTTTACGACTAGCCGATTAATCCTTTAACCGTAGTCTACTGACTAGCTAACTTCGAACATCTTTTACAATCTTGATTTTCATATATTAAAATAAATAAATATTTAATAAACACCGTTTTAGGAAATCATGGTATACTGTATATGGCCCAGACCTATATAATTCTAAACGAGCCAATCTTGAGTTTTATTTCATAAGGCTTGAATGAGCTGAGCTCGAGCCTAAGAAAAAATAAGTCTTATTAGGCTCAGGTTGGCCTTGCTCATTTGCACTGCTACCCCCGGTGTAGGTCCACCCTTGGCTAGAAGGGTTATTTGTTGTAGTGAGTATATACACTCCTAAAGGTTTGATTTCAAGTGTGATGTTTGTGTCCTTTCTAAATCGGTTGATTTAAATTTATGTACTCATGCAACGTAAGATCCTCAAACTATAGAAGGGTTTGAACTTTGAGCTTGTAATCCCCACATTTTACTTTGTCAACTCAACGTCAATTCAATTATTAAAAATAAATCAATAAATGAAAAATAGTTTAAAAGGAATTGAACCTATAACTTCAACGTAAACGACATGTTAATTAACAACCTTTGTTTCCTTATCTAGTTGTAACTTGTATACAGCCTCAGAAAAATAAAACCAACCTAGACAATGTCTTAAAAAAAACATTTATTTAAACTTTTAGAAAAAAAAATCAACTTACAAAATCGTATCAACAAAAGCATCACCAGACAACGCCTTAGTAATCATACTGTCACCTTATGTATACCCAGCTCCATACTCAAAAGGAAATAACCTCTTAGCAAACAATAGGTCAATGTAAGAAGACTATATTTGAGTTCCATCACAAAGTTGAAAGCTTTATTGAATAAGGTATTCAGCCGAAACAACAAAATCCGCACATAATACACAGCCTAAACCAAACACAACTTTCTAACTTAACCAAAAAAAAAAAAGTAACTAATACCTACCCACCAAGATAAACTCATCATCATCAAGAACTTGAACATCTTTCTCTCCAATAAAATTCTCCCTTCCAATCCCTTTGACAATCTCAACAAACTCCACCCTCTTTTCCAAAGGAAGCGGCACATACGGAAGCCGAAAAATGGGCCTGACAACTCCAAGTTGAGCGAGAGCCGTATTCAACCCAATCGGATTCGGCTCACAAAACAACCATTTCATCAAAGGCAACAACTTCAAATTAAGCGATAAATTCTTGCCTTCAAACATAAGCTCCTGCATCAACCCCGGAACCAGATTGCTAGCCACCGATATCACCCCCGTGGCACCGTGGTCCCACCGTGAGTCATGACACTCATCATCGTTCCCACTCCATGTTGTGATGTTGGTTTGGGTGTAGGTTTGGATTCGGTTGTGGCCCATGCATTCTTTGATGCCAGCTAGGTTTGGGTTGGAGGAGAGAGAGTGGATGACGGTTGGGGGGATGTCTTGGCCGGTTCGGGAGGGGACATTGTAGATGATTGTGGGGCCCATTGGGAGCACGCATTTGAAATGGGAGATGAGGCCTTCCAGTGAGGTTTTTCCGTAGTATGGGTTGATGTGAAGGGCTGCGTGCATTCCCACTGCAAACCCTTGTTCGGTTGCGTGGATTGCTTCTCGAGTTGAGTTGCTTCCCGTGTTTCCTATCACCTGTCATCAAGGTCTCATGTTAGGATTTAGGAAGAAGCAAAATACAAAATTTTATTGCTACTGAACTATTATTGAAAAGGACAATAATGAGAGAAGTTGGAACCTTGATTGATGTGCCAAAGCAATTGATGGTGTGACCAATGAGCATAATGTGTTCATCCCAACTCATCAACTGACCTTCACCAGTGGTTCCACCAACAATCACACCATCAGCTCCATTTTCAATCTGCATATTCACCAAGGCATCATACGCCTCCAGATCGAACCTCCCATCAGGTAAGTATGGAGTTTTAATTGCAGTTATCAACCTCAATGACTTTATCTCATCCGTAGAAGTCCTGATAAGATAGTAAAATGATATATCAGAAGTATAACATTAACTGCACGAAACAGAAATTTACTCTCATTGATTCGTCTATGTCATCCAAATACAAAGCAATTCTCATTGTAATATCGAATCATGGTGTTTCCTACTTATAACCATAACAATTATATACAACATATAGTACCATTTTAAGTTACATATAAGGTAGGCGTATTCATTTAGGAATACTTCTCTTTTTTTTCTTTTCTATGTTGTGGTTATTTCATTGTCTGTATGTGGGGGGTGTAAAGAGGAGATAGCATGGATACCGGTTCTTCACTTCAAAACTGCGCATTGGTAGATGAAAATTGGGGATTACAGCTGCTTTTGGGGATGCCCATCGTGCACTCCTGCTTAATGATAACAAACAAAGAAAATAAGTAATGTGGAATACACATGACAAAAGACTATACAAACTCCCAACTCATATGTAAGATTATGCTCTCCTCTATTGTATATTCTGCAACCTGGTACATAGTCACAGGAGAAGTACTTATAAAGTTCAAGGTTTCTATCTACAAGTTCTCTCACTAATCAGTAGACCAACTAAACCTATGGTGGGATAAGTTCTCTCAATTATCACCATCAAATCTAATGCTAAGAATCAATGTGGTAAAGAGGTTGCATATTAGTGAATTGAATTGACCACCATTGTTCTGTGTTAAAAAGCAAAAAGCCAGTAATTTCAGAAAATTCCCAATGGTTCGTTTGCAACGAGAGCAAGAGAACTAGAGCTGCTCGCTTAATTTAGAAAGAGTATAAGAAGATCGATCAATTTCTAGCTGCAAACGAAGATTTGATATCATATCATAACATACACGATGGATAATCTTTCCATAGCACAAATAAAATAACATTTGCATATAAAACAGTTGGAATCACGTTGAGAGATGTAGAGCTTTAGGTGTTCAAAAATCATATTGAGCAGAAAAAACGTTATCGGTTATCCCCGCTGCTCTGCATTGTATTAAAACAGGACATTCAAAAGCAACCACGACAAACAAATTAGGGTTTGTAATGAATACCTATTGCGAGTGTTCGTCGAATTCGAGCGCACAAGCCGGAAAGGAGAGTCATTCCCCCACGAAGTACAGCTCTTGAAAGCAGACATTTGCTGACACGCTACAGACATCTTCGAGTTTACAGAGAATATTTGAAACAAAAGGAAGATTCACTTATCTGCTGCTTTACTCAGATGAAAATAGTGATGATTGGCGTGGAAATTATAAGTGGAGATGTGGTAGTAATGGTGGTGGTTCGGTGGCGTAGGAAGTGGACGGCGAGGTGGTGGAACATTGCAGTGGGGTTTACAATAGATGATGAGTGAAACTGGAACCCTAGAGTTTATAGCCGTGCATTTTGCTATAACGCTAAATTTAATAAAAGTATATTTCAGCAATCACATGTTCAAGAATGACACGTGTAACATTATTAAATAATCAAGTCAATTGTGAGTCATGAGACTTGTTCATATGGTAGATAAAATTTGTCCATCATATTGATTTAATTTGATATTCAAGAACTCATATGAGTTTCAAATTACTTGATATGATTTAACCATCTTCGAGTTCTGATCTTTTTATTGAGAATCTTTTCATATATCGTATTTTTGACATACTAAATCAGATGCCAAACATTATCATAATGTGGTGAACTTCTCATTTTATTTAAATATAGTATTAATTTAGAATTTATACTTTTTTAAACACAGCTACAACACATCCATTATTTTAGTCTTAAATCTATATATTTCTTTTTTAAATCTATTTATTTTTTTTTTCCGGTGAAACTTGAATCATCAACCTTTAGTGACATGTTCAGTCAATTCTTTATATTACTAGGTTATAAAGTATAAATTTAGAATTTATACTTTAATACTAAAAAAATTGTTTGTTGATAAAATCCCCCAATTGATTGAAGGTTCACATCCTACTTGGGATGAAGATGTAGACTGAAGTAGATTTTAGAAAACTATGTGTTAATTAATTAGCTATTCAAAAAGAAAAACCAAAACTGTGATTATTAAATATAATTTCAAATAAAACTGTGATTATTCTTTCATGCACTCAGAACACTAAATGGCCAACCAAGCAAGACTATAACCAAGACTATAACCAAATTTGAACACATTTTTGCTTTTCCACGCTTGATACACTTCTAGAACCAATATAATAGCGATTAAATTAAATCAAAATATTAATAAATTGACTTTTACAAGAGGTAGTATTTGAATATTATATCATAAAATAAAATATTGAATATTATATCATAAAATATTAAATATTATATCACAAAATATTAACTTTAATGATTATAAATCAGATTCATTTTTTTTTCATATTGAATCGGATAATTTGACAATTTTATTAAAGTATTTTAGGACTCAAGTTATATAAAAACATAGTTTGTAACTTGTTTAGAAAGTTTCAAAAGATTTTTTTTTTTAAATTTAATACTAGTAAATAGTTTTCAACGAAAATGAAGGATGTTTGAAAGTTCATCTTGATGTTGTTTGCTGACCACACCGGCGCAGACAATCTGTTTCTCTCTCCTTTTTTTTTTTCTTCTTCTTGTATTTCAACGAGAGAAAACGGTGAACTTATTACACGCCTAAGCTTTTGAAAACTTCTTTGAACTCTCTCTCTCTCTCTCTCTCTCTCTCTCTCTCTCAATCTCAACTTGTTTGTCATCGTTGTGTTAACTGGGATCTTCTCCCGCCTGAGTTTGGTGCCGATGGCTGGTCGTTATGATCCTAATCCCTTTGACGATGGGGAGGAAGTCAACCCTTTCGCTGTAAGTTATCAGTTCTGATTCCATGTTGCTAGTAACGTCTCATCTAAATGTTCGATCATGGTCTTCCCTTTGAACTTTTACTTGATCAGCGCTAATTATGATTCATGATTGAACTTGTTAATTGTTATGCGATGCGTCTCATTTTAATAACTGTACACTTATTGATTATGGAACTGAATTGTGATTGTAGCAACAGATAATCGTTCGGGGTTTAAACAATTTTAATTTTTAAGCAGTTCTTACTAACGGTTCCTCTGCACACATGATTAGCAAAAAGTGACGATGCTTTTCCGAATTACTTGTAGTAAAGTTGATGAGATCATAGAGAATCAAATAATTTCGAGAAATTAAACCCCAAAAGACTGTTCATTTCAACCATGGTCGTGTTTCGATTTTATCACATTTTGTTTTTAAAACATCCACGCATTAAAAAGACAATGATCCTTTATTTGAAAGTCTTTGATTAATGATATATGAATTTGAGTGATTTTAAGTGATTATTTGTTCACATTTTGCAAACTCATGTTAATATTAATTTTTTTTTTAACAAATGTATATGTTTGGCCATTCTAACTTCTTTTTGAATCTACATAATCAGGAAGGAGCAGCAGGAAAAGGCAGAAAAACAAATTATAGTGGGGGTTCATTTTACACTACAGTAAGGCCTTGTTTCCTTCTTTTTTCCCATAAAATGTTGTCTAATGTTTGAAAATATATTTGAGAAAAATACACGAGGGCAAATTTTAAAAAAGTTAAAGACTTAATAGGGGAAAATATTATTTCTGCTACTTTCTCTATCAAGACATTCTTTCTGCATTAACTGAAAGAGAAATATCCATATATATGAATTATATATTATTCCAGATGTTATTTATATAAATTGGATGGGTTTTTTCAGGGTGTTCCTTCTGCTCCAAGTTCTAAGATCTCACTTCTTCCTCATGAGCCAGCAAATTATTATGATCGAAATGCCTCAGTTGACATTCCTCTTGATTCTGCTTCGGTAGGGTTGACTATTTAATCTTATTATTAGTTTATTAATTTACTTTTTACATGAATGTTGTTGACAAATGTTGGTATCAATGGAAATTTATTGAAGGATCTGAAGAAGAGAGAGAGGGATCTTCAAGCTAGGGAAGCTGATCTGAAGAAGAGGGAAGAGGTAAATGTTCTATTGATTTGTATATTTGCAATTTCATTCAAATACAAAGCAATTTTCACTGCTATGGTTGGGAAGATTTTCAAAGTATAATGTCCTAAAAAAACAAATTTGAAAGTAAATTGTTATAATAATGTTTATTTATTAAAAGTACATGGCTATCTATTGCATCTTTATTTACACCAACCTCGTTATTCTTTGATTGAGTTTTTTGCAGATAGTAAGACGAAAAGAGGAGGCAGCTGCTAGAGGTAATTCATCTTCATATTTGTCCCATTTTTTTATATCATATACAAGAGTCCAAATTTTTTTATAAACTAATCCATCTTTCCATTTCAGCTGGTATTGTTCTTGAGGAGAAAAATTGGCCACCATTTTTCCCAATCATTCATCACGATATTGCAAATGAGATACCGATTCATCTACAGAAATTGCAGTATGTTGCATTCATGACATACTTGGGTATGTGTTTATTCCCTTATTAGTTTTGGTTCTCAAATTTCTTTATTATTTGCATAATGGAAGGCTTTTGGTCAACAATTTCGTAAGACATTGTAACTTTCATGGGACCAAAGAAGAATTATTTGTTTTAAATTGGATGACCTCAGAGATTTGCAACATTTCATCGGATATAATCCAAAAGATGAAATGATCTATTTGTCCATTGTCATTTATAACTTACTGATGCTTTTGATTCACAAGATCATTTGATTAAAAAATCAAACAATTTTATAAAGTTTTTCTAATAGTATACAATTGTTATTGCAAACAGGGTTGGTATTTTGTCTTTTTTGGAATATTATAGCCACAACGACTGCATGGATTAAAGGAGAAGGTGTGTGTTTGTTTCCTTTTTCTTTTTAATTTTTATTAGTACCTGTCATTAAATTATTCTAAAATGTTTTTTTTTCCTTGTGCTACAGACGTGGAGATCTGGTTTCTTGCAGTTATCTACTTCATATTAGGGGTTCCACTTGGCTATGTTTTGTGGTACAGGCCACTTTATCGTGTTTTTAGGTAATGCTTTATAGCATCCTACTTTCATTCCTTTTTATTACAATATTGTATTTCAATTCATTTCTTATTAACCCATTGTGCTTTGGAAAATCTGCCCAGTTATAACAATGAAAATTGCTTTGTATTTGGATGACATTGCTATTTTTGGGTAGATTTTAAACGCTACAATTACAAATAAATACAAAAAAACATGTTGCTGTTTTCTTGCATTTTGCTTAACAAAGTATCATCTTCTTATCTTTTTGATTAACATTATTAATCGTGTTTGCAGGAAGGAAAGTGCATTTGGGTTTGGTTGGTTCTTCCTATTTTACTTGGTAAAAGCCTTAACAATTGTAGTTGATTTTTTAATATGGTTTCCAATGAAGCAATTTGGACAAATTATGGGAATGAAAATGCAAAATATAATGAAAAAGAAACATTATCATTTTCTGATTGTTTTTTGTTATTTTTCTGCTTACAGTTACACATAGCTTTTGTAATCTTTGCGGCTGTTGCTCCTCCCGTTGTCTTCAAAGGGAAATCTCTCACGTCAGTTCCTCCCCCTTTTTATTAATATATTCATCACTTTTAGGCTCAGTTACCAAATTTGCCCTTTTCTATTTTCTTTTAACAATTTTGCTTTCCACTGAACAGAGGAATCCTACCAGCAGTTGATCTTGTAGGAGATCAAGCTTTAGTAGGGGTGAGTTTTTGTGCACCTTTTATCAATATAAAGTCTGTTATTTTTGTATTAATTATGATTATTTTTCATAGATCTTCTACTTTCTTGGTTTCGGGCTATTCTGTCTCGAGTCTCTGCTCAGCATTTGGGTTATTCAGGTTTATTCTCTTTCACAAATAAACAACCCTTTTATCCACAACTAGTTTAAGTGTTTGGTTAATTGTTATGTTTAATAAAATTATAATTAAAAATATAAAGTATATTTTTTTAATATTATTTCTAATTATGCAGCAAGTATACATGTATTTCCGAGGGAGCGGCAGAGAAGCAGAGATGAGACGTGGGGGTGCTTGAGGTGCAGTATGAGCACCAATCTGAGCCATGAGTTATTTTGATTCTAAGATTGTTTTTTATGGTGATTATATTTGCTGATTTTAAATTGATGGATTTGAGTTGTAAAAAATATAGAAAGATGGCAGGAGAGGAAGTACTGATAGTTTTTACCTTTGTTTGTAAAGCTGTTATATAATATTTTGATTGATGTATCTGTTTCTAAGAGAAGGAAAATAAACAGCAAAATGACAATAAGACGTGGCCAAATAATCAAATTAACCCAATATAATTACATAATAATATAGTATATAATACAAAGGAAACCCACAAAAAGCCTTCATGCATTTCACAAAACAACATTATTTTGGTACGACACTATCAAGCAAAAAACTTGATCACTGTATTACAAAAGTTATTTATTTGACCATTATATCTTATATTCAGTTCCTACTTTTCTTTATTTGGTCAAATAAGTTACTTGAGTACTTAATGATATCGTGATGAAAATTTATTTTACTAGAACAAATATTTTCTCCCCTTCTGTACTCTAAAAACATATCATACAAAATCCAACGGCGGATATTAAGATATTATGTGATGGATCAAAGGCTAGAAGAGTTCCAGCTGGCATCAACTGCTCTCATGATTTTCTCATGTAGGGAGGCGCCAGCACATGCGATTATACCTCGATCTAGTCCTTGCAAGTACATACCTTTAGAAAAGTCGAGTCGCTGACCTCCGGCGTCGGTGACGACTCCGCCGGCTTCTTCAATGATGACAACTCCGGCGGCATGGTCCCATATCTTCTCCTTATAACCGGCTCTTGCGAACTTCATGAATATCTCTGCGTCTCCACGAGCGATGGCGGCGTATTTCACCATACTGTATACTCGTAATGGTTGGTTCCTGCAGTACGAGGGTGAAAATTAAAAAATTTCATGTGATTTTCCCGATTTATCCCTGAATTTCGGGATAAGGGTAGATTAGTAAATTTGTGAATGTCTCAACTGAACTCGCAATGTGTTTGCAGCAGTCATGGATATCCAAGTAATTTTGCAAATTTACCCTTATTTTCATTGTATAGTTAATATCTGTGACCAATCGATTTGTTGATTCTTGGTATTGAAAAGAGCAAATTGCAGAAAATATCAGAACACTTCATATTTTTACTAATATGATAAATGTATTTTTTTTGTAACCATGATAGCAATCTATCTATTTATTTTTTACAAATAATATATATTTACATATAACAGAATATGAATAACATACTTATATTTCTTTACTTATGATAGCAAAAAAAATATAACAAATTGAGTACATTACCTGGTAGTGAAATGTGAGTACGTTACTATTTTGGGTAAAACAATAAAGTAAAATTGTTCATTATTGGTAAAAATAATATAAGTACATTGAATTCATTGGCAGCGTGAGTAAAGTACGTTGCTATTCCTCGAAATTTGTTGTATTCATATTTCTTTATCAATAATAGCAAAGTAAAATTGTATTCATATTTCTTTATCAATAATAGCAAAGTACTTAAAATTTTACGGATAACCCATAATAACAACATACTTACATTTTTTTTTACCAATAATAGCAATAGCAAAATGTAACAAATAGATTACATTACCCATATTGGTAGTGAAACGTAAGTATGTAATAATACCTTGTTATTATTTGGTAAAAAATAAAGTACTTTGCCTATATTGATATCTAGAATAAAGTAAGTTACCTATATTGGTATTTAAGACATTTCACTCGGATCAAAACTGAAAGACTTGAAAAGAGAAAGAACAAGTACCTAAGCCCAACACTATGAGCCAACCCTTGAGTAAACGAGTGGCTCGAGTTCGCCTTCTCCACAGGCTCACAAAACGTAGCCAAAACGGGATTATCAATACTCGACACCGTGACCGGCCTTGCAGAATTCGGCCACAAAAAACTTTTATCTCCACTCACCAACGGTTGCATCCACGCTTTCTTACTCCCTTTCTTTGCATAAAGCACACACCCTTTCCCATCCCAACTATCCAACCCCGTTTTAGTCAATCTCGAAAGCATCCTCCGATAACCATTTTGGTAATTTAACCACTCCTTATTCAACGGGTAGTTCGGGCACCCAAGAACCCCGAGTACCACCTGCCCGTTTTCAATTAAGGCTAGAGCAATCGCGTACTGGTCTCCGCGTACAAATCCTAGGGTCCCGTCGACCGGGTCAAGTACCCAGAATCGACCAGTGGGCCCGCCTGTGGAGTTGCAGCGGCTAATTGCTTCGAGGACTTGGGTGGTTTTGAGAGGTGTTGGTGGCGGTTGGAGGTTGAAAGTGGCGGCGGTGGATAGGGAGTCGTTGACGGTTGTGACTATGGATGAGAGGAGGCTGGCGGCGTTAGGTTTTGAGAGGGCTTCGATGTCTTCTTCTGCAACGATTGATACGTTTTCCGGTCCGAATGCTTGGGATAATATCCAGCTAACGGTTGCTTGCACGCTCCAATCTGTTAATAAATTTGTGATATGATTCTGACATGACATGACATGACAGAACAGGTTGTACTGTGTTTGCCTTTGTGTTGGACTTAAAGTGAAAGTGATGTCGAACAAAAAGGTCAAAAACACATGTATGACTAACCGGAGTAAGTACAAGTCTTTATCAAGTAATAAAAAACAACACTTTAAACTTCATATCCAAAATAATGTTCTAATTGCTTTTGAGAAAGATACTCTTTTCATGAATTCATCATGTAACTTTACGATCATAGTAACTTTACATGTTGCTAGTCCATAGCTTGAAAGCAAAATCGAAAATGAGTAGGATTGTCACTTATAAGTCCATTATAGGTACTTACTTTGTGTAAAGAAAATCTTTCCACAGATTAATGAATCCCATTGGCACTTGTGAAGTTGCCTTACTTTTAGTTTTTAGGTCAAACGTAGTACTTTTTCGAATCAATGTTGGAGAATTAACCTTGTTACAAACATGATTCTCTTTGTAGTACTTGTTGGAAGTTCACTCATAATCATCAATTTTTCTTTAAAAAAATATATGTACTGTATAATGCATACATGATACATACTAAATAATAATAGTGAGTTTGAAACTTCTATATTTGACCTCCATAAGTGAAAGTATAGCTCTTGCAATTCATTAACCAGTAGACATAGAAATAATGAGTTCTGAAATAAAGAATAGACACAATTGGTCTTGCTACCCGCATAAAATCAGTTTCACTAATCTTCAAGCAATTCCCACACAACCAAGACAATGAATTTGAAAATCAAAAGTGAAATTGAGAATCAAAGATTACCAGCAATCGTGACAGGGGAATTATCGTCTTTGGCTTGAACATCTCCATTTCCATTGAAGATCAAATTTTCTTGAACTTTCTGGCATAACAAACAAGCAACATGAACGGCTTTCACAGCAATTTCTAATTCTTTACTGTATTTCTCATCTGGGTGTGATTCAGTCGACACCCAATTGCCGTTCTTCTCCATTTCGTCAGAAACGTGGGGTTTTCGATCAGATGTATTTAGACAGCAAATGGAGGTTCTGGATTTTGGGTAATTGCGACTATGAAAGGAAACCAAGAATTTTACATGGGGTTTTAGAGAATCGTTGTTCTTGTTGGCAAAGAACAAAGTTTGTGGGATTTTGGTTCCCAATTTTGAAGGAAAAACAGTCATTATAAATAGCTCTCTCACACTCGACTGTATCCAGATTTTTCAAAGTTTCCAGTGATTTTGATGTATTTGGCCGAGAAAGGCACACGGTGTTGTGTTTGCATTTAAGCCCCTTGAGATTGCGGAGATTGTAGAGCAAGCCTCTTTTTAACCCAATGTTTTAATAATTGAATCGTTAAAAGTTAAAAGAGAAAATGACCTTATCGTTTTGTTCACATTTAGACAATTTTTATTTTTTATACATTTTACCATTTAATTTGTTATATGTGTTCACATATTGTCATTGTCACCGACTATAACCTATGACAATGGTAATATGTGAACAAATTAACAAGTTAAATGTTTAAATGTATACAAAAAAAAAGTTGTCTAAATGTGAACAAAACGAAAAGTTAATTACCCTGATAACTCATTTTTCCCATTTTAAATAGTGAGTTTATTTTTTGTATTTGCTTGTATTATTTTTTTCAAACGTTATTTTTTAAAATATCTATTATTTCCTAAATATTAATTAAATATTGATCAATTTTAAACTTTACTTTTTAATTAATAAGTATGTTTTGTTTTGTGAAATATTTTATATAGCCTTTTATATTTTTTTTCTTTTTGTTTTTAAGCATATATTATATTTTTAAAGTAAATAGTATCTAACAATAAAATTAAATAAATTAAGTATATAACAATAAGTATGAAGGGTCTTTTAAAAAAATAAAAACAAAATATTACTTAGCAAATAAAAAAACATAAAAAAATCTAAATAATATAAATGTTTTAAAATTATTCCAACTTTTTTATAGTTTTTATTTAAAAGTTTATAAAATTAAAATTTTTTTAATACAACGTTTTAAACTAGTATTTAACGAAAGTATTTTAAAATGTTATAAAAAAATATTAAACTGTCATATAAAATCTGTGAAACACTTTAAAAATGTTGTAAAAGAAAGTTTAGAAATACATGTATGAAAGTTATAAAATTAAAAAAAAAAAAAAGTTAAAAGCTTGTAAGAAAAATTAAAACATTTATAAAATATATGGTTTAAAAGCACATGTATTAAAATTATATAAAAGTATAAAAAAAAAGTTCAAAAAAAATTATAAGCAAAGTTTAAAACATTGTATTAGAAAAACCTATAGGAAAAAAATATCATAAAAGTGTTGTAAGAAATTATAAAAATTTTAAAAAATTTGTAAAAAAATAATTGTTCATATTTAGACAACTTTCTATTTTTATACACATTTGACCATTTAACTTGTTAAATGTGTTCGCATATTACCATTGTCACCTGCTATAATAGGTGACAATAGTAATATGTTAACACATTTAACAAGTTAAATGATCAAATGTGTACACAAAAATTGAAGTTACCTGAACGTGAACAAAGACAAAAAGGTAATTACTTTCGCAAATCATTTTCCCAAAGTTAAAACCGAGTTGTACATTAAAATCACAAAAAACATAAAATAATAAAAAATAAAAAATAAAAGTCATGTAGATGACAACATGTGTAGGGGTTGTTTGGTAAATTGTAATGAATCCTGGTTCAAACATTTGAATGGTTCGGATAATTTTAAGTGTTTTGATATGTTCAGAGATTGTTTAGATGTTGTAATAAAGATCCTGTTGATTCAGACGTGATATTGAACAATCCATTAGATGTTACCAACTTTTTATCATAAAGTGACTAAAATTTGTGACAAAACAATTGGGAGTCACATAGTCAGTGAAGTAGCATTTCTCAACATAAATGGTTTTGTGATTTTTATGTGATCTTTTTTTAAATTGTCAAACATTTTGAGTCAAATCGTCTATATATATTTACCATAAAGTTTTAAATAGCTGATCGTCGAACCCCATTAAAACCATGGATTTTTTATTCATTCAATTTTTATTTTTGTTAAATTAATTTTTTTATTAATAATTTAAAACTAGAAAAATAAAATAAAATATAATATTTTTAATTAAAAGTAAACTAGTACAAATGAAAAAAACACGATAATTAAAGTTCCTAAATTCCTAAAATAAAAGTCAAAAACTCTCAACCACATTTTGCTATAATTTGTTGTTTCCTCTCGATCAACGTTTACAGAACACCTCCAGTTAGGGGTGTCAAATCAGACAATCATGTCGCATTTTTGTCTGAAACGACACGACAGTTTTTTATATAATACGAACACGACATGACACGATGTCGTGTTTATTTTCATTAACATGAAAATAAGTCGATTAAAACACGAAAAACACGACATGAAACGACAAACATAAAATAATACAATTATTAGTCTATATAATTCATACTTAATCACATATAAGACGAAAAATACGAAAACTCGACAAACACATGTTAAATCGTGTCAATTTCGTGCCAAATTTTAAACACGAACACGACGCAAAGTCGTGTTTTTTACATTTTACACAAACACGAAACGAACACGAATTCGAATTTCGATTTCGTCCCAATTTCGTTTTGTGTCGTGTATTTTTGTTGTGTCATGTCATAAATTTACATCCCTACCTCCAGTCAAATGATCATGCAGATTGAGAAAATATAGCATATCTTGAGCCTTTATCTCCTTCTCCAATAGTTGAACTTTTCATTCTTTGATTTCTCGTATAAGACACAATTTTTCTTCTTGGTATCATCTTCTTTCTTCTGCCTCTGATTTTGTTTAGAGTGTAGATATCGGCGATTTCGTTAACAAGATCAACTATTTCATTCGTCGATGTCATTTTCTTTCATTTTTGTTGTCTCCGAGGCGATGAGTCAACAACTTGTTGGCCAAATATGGGTGGAAAATGTGCATCTGAAGATGATTTGTAGGCGTTGGATGAAGATGTTTTTGTTCGTTTGATGAAGGAGCCAGATAGTCTTCACCGGCTTTTTACGCGTTACCATTTCGCATGGGTTTCTAGAAATTCTCAAGTTTATTCATGGGGAATAGCTTTATGATTACTAAACCTCTGATATTCTCTTTGTGTCGATTTTAAAACATTGACCTTGGATCTCTCATTAGCTAGATTTTCCAGCTTATTGTTGTAGATGTTGTTGAAATTCTTACAGTTCTTTTGAAGATCTTTCCATTTTGAATTCACTTAGTGCCTTGTACGATCCGAACATCCCACTTGAACATTAAAATGATCTAGAACCCGCTCTCAAAATGTCTCCGACCTTTTTTCATTTCTTTGTGCCTTATCTTAAAACATCAACATACACCTTAGCAAAAGGAACCTCTTTCTTTTCCAACCATTTCTTTGACTTTTGGCGATTTGTATAATTGTGTGTCTTCTTAACAACATGTTTGTGGTCCTCGATTGTTTGTTCAGTTCCAACGGTAGCGAGTTCATCACTAGATTCTTCAAATTCTAAGTTTTGAGTATCACCAAAATGGGAGACCTCGGTAAGAGAACATTGCTATGGGTTTTTTTGGAACCTTTTGAGAAAACTACATGTGTATTGATTGTAGATGATATTATTGTTGGAAATAGGTGTCCAATGTAACATCCATAATTTTCGGGTATGATTCTTTGAGATTTTTATGCTTAAGTGTTGAGAAGTACACCTTACGTTGAGCGTAGGATAGTCCCCTACACTGAGTGTAGGTGTTGGAATGTGGACACTGGTTTAATGACCTACGCTGAGTGTAGGTAAGGCTACGTCGACCATAGTCGTGTTGGACCAAAACCCTAAACCTAGGGTTGTGAGGCCTATTTAAAGGCTCTAACTCCTTGTGATCCTCCCCATAATCATCCTCCACCCTTTTCATCAGCAACCTTGAAACCCTGACCACCTTTTGTGAGATTTGAACTCTTGGAGTGACTTGTGTGCTCTCTTGAAGGAAGAAGGTGTTTTGTGGAACCATTTAGGAGCTCAACTTGTGTAGATCTAGAATTTTCGACCCATCATTTATCTCAAGAAGGTATAAAGTTTCCATCTCGATGCTTGTTCATGTTAGATCTAGTTTGGTCATAGGATTTTATGCATTTTGTCCCCAAAATCTTGGTCCTTGTGAGTATGGACTACTCCAAACCATTGTATGTCACTTTTCTAATGTTTTTGGGGTTGTGAAGTAAAAAAAAATGAGAGCTTGGACACCCTCATTCTCCCATGCTTGGGCTCTTGAGCATTTGAGGACATTATGGACTTAGGGTTTGACTTTGTGCTCTTTTTATTCATGAAAATGGATAAAGCCAGAGACTTTATCCACTAAGACGTCCATTTGATTTAGATTTAAAAGATTGAGGGGTTGACCTTGTGTATTAAGAGCTTAATGGAAAAATTGTCATCAGCGGAGCTAAGCTGAGCATAGTTTTCTATACGCTGAGTGTAGCCTCAGAATTGCCCGCTTTCACCAAAAGCTCTACGCCAAGCGTAGAGCAGTACGCTACGCTGAGCGTAAGTCAACCGAGGGTTCATCGTTGACTTTTTGACTAGTTTGACTTTTAGTCAACTGTGTTGGAACTTAGTCTTGGAAGGGAAAATGGTCTTTTGCCTAAAGGATAATTAATTTTGAACCAAAAACTCTTTTTTAGTTAGTTATTACCTTAATTGCTAATTAGGGTTTTTTATGTGTATGTTAGAGTGAGGAGACTCGATATCATCAGCTCGAGTGCGTGGGTTATCTTGTCTTCAGGTTGAGGTGAGTTTTCTCACCATACTATGTAGGATGATAGTTGTCTTTGTGACTCTTGCATGTATGTTGGGCGGGGCCCATTTTGTATGTTAGACGGGGCTCGTTATGTGAATTGAGCGGGCCCGTTATATATGATGGGTGGGGCCCAATATTTGAGTCGGTTGGGGGACATTATGCTAATTGGGTAGGGCTCGTTATGTTTGTAGGCGGGGCTCGTATGGTTATGTGGTATTTTGGGGAATTCACTAAGCTTTGTGCTTGCAGTTTTATGTTTAGCGTTTCAGGTACTTCTAGTCCCAAAGGGAAGGGCCCAACTTGATCACATTGCATCCCTTGGACTTTTATTTCTGCATTATTGGTTTATGCTTTTGACACTGATGTTGAGAATACATTATACTATGATTGTCTTTTGAAAAAATGATTGAATGGTTTTTAGTGGTTGAAAATGA